ACCTTCTGAAATGGCAAGAAGCAGGGTGTTTTGACCTACATGTCTTTTTATTTTTGTGAGTCGTTTTATTTCTCTTATACTTGAGCAATTTTAATGCATCATTCTGTCTAGATGTTTTGGAAATAAATTGGAAGTGTTTAGTTATCTGAGGATGTGAACTTGCAAGTCTCTTTCAGAGGTACTGGCTGAAACATCTTGCTTCTCTTTTTTAGGTTAAGTGGTGGAAGCAGTATTTTTAATGCTTAGGAATTCATTATTATAATCTCACTATTGCAGAAGAAAATGAATTTTTGGGGCAAAAAAATGTCTGGATTTTTTTTTTAGCTGGATTCTTATAACATAATATGGTCCTGTTCGTTATATTCAACTTATACCAACTGAATTTGTTGGAAATTTTCAGAATGGGGGGTAGGCACTGAACTACAACTCTTGTTACAATGAGGAGAGTTTGTTCAGTGCTCTGTTCCTAATGTGGTACACTTACCCTTTGGTATGCATTATTTCCTAAATCAATAAATAAGCTGTAATGGAAAAGGTAGCATTTAATAAGGAACGACATTGTATTTTTTTTTTTTTTTACAGACAGCATAATATATTGATTCTGCTATCAAACCTGTAAGAGATTAGTTTAAATTGCAGAAGCTGGGGAATAGGGTCAGTTCTTATACATATTTTTGCTATTGTTGTGACTGTTAAATATCTACCATTAATTAATCCTTTTTTTCCCCTAACTTCCATATAAATCATATGGTGTTCTGGGGAAACAAGAAACTATATTAATGAGCATCAACTCCGTAATTATTCTTGTGACTACATAACAGGGACACATTCATGTCATTCCTTTGTGCAATAACTTTTGCAAAGAAGTATTTTTAAACTGGTCATTAATTTTATGACCACAGAAATGAGATGCAAAATTTATGCTGTTGTCATTGGCAGAGGTTCAAGGCACTACTGACATTATATGTGATTGGAATGGAATGGCTGCCAACTAATGAGTCTATAGACGTTTGGTTTGAGCATGCTTTGCTTTTAGATCACTGATTAGGCAGCAGTGCTTTCAATTATGCCTTCAAATTGTATTGGATACATTTACCTGATGCCCATTGTTGCTTTGTAGTTCAGTTTTCTATTACATAAGTGCAAGTTGAATGCTTTTCTTTAATTTATTGATGCTTTTTGGGTGTATTTTTAGGTACTTGGCACCTGAAGAGAGTAGTGGTTTGTGCTGCTCAACACTGACTCCTGTGATTGTTCAAGGAGTAACATATGGAGCTTCAAGTGCAATTCTGTCTGCTCTTACTCCATAGGTGGAGTATGAACTTCAATGCAACACGTTGATGGAAGAGGATGTAAAGTGAAGGAAGGGCAGAGGTTATTCTGAGTGGGAATGTAGGAGATGTATAGAATCAACAAGAAGCCTGTCTCTGAACTGTCAGAAGCAATATCTTTATATATTAGTAGCATACGCTCCTAAGATGTGTTTTAACCCTGATAGAATTGGAGGAAAAACTCTAAGGATGATACCAGAAAGTAGTCATTCTTTTATGTAAGCACATAAACACGTTGTGAGATGTTGCCTGTTAAAGCTCCAGAGCACATTGAGTCAGCTTTCCTACGGAAATGTGTGCAGTTCTGTACAAATTAGATGATCCAAGGATTACATTTTTCAGGGTATAATACAAATTTACGAATACATTTATTTAAAATAAAAAATGGAAAATTTTTTTGTTTAATCTAGGCCTGCATGACTGCAGGTTGCTTATACCTCTGTTTTGTGTCTGTCACCTATTCTCCACATTTTTCACTTAAAGTGTGGGTACCTAAATTGTATGACATAGGATTTATTTATTTGTTCTGATTGTCATTCCCAGTGAGGGCCTTTTTTTCATGGAAGTCTTCAAGCCTTATTTAGGATTTAACACCTAGAGAATGCTTTGAAGTCTATGAAGCACTGAGTGTGTAATTTCTTCATAATACCTCAACATTTTTCAGTTGTTTTAAAAGCACTTTGAGTTTGGATATTGTAGAAATAGAACAGATACTTGTTTTACTATAAATCTACATTCAGTGTTGCCATGTTCTTTGATGTTACAAATACACTATATACCTGTGTCATGGCAACTGAGCCCCACATGGGGTAGAGATGATGATCGGAAGGGTAAAAGTGAGAAGACTCATGGGTTGATATAAAGTTTAATAGGTAAAGCAAAAGCCACACATGCAAGCAAAGCATAACAAGGAATTCATTCATTACTTCCCATGGATAGGAAGTTGTTCAACCATCTCCAGGAGAGCAGGACTCCATCATGTGTGACAGTGACTTAGAGAAACAAACATCATCACTCCAAACATCCTACTCTTCCTTCCTTCTTCCCCCAGATTTATAGGCTGAGCATGACATCTTATGGTGTGGAATATCCCCTTAGTCAGTTGGGGTCAGCTGTCCCAACTGCGTCCCCTCCCAGCTTGTGCACTCCCAGCTTTTTCGCTGGTGAGTTGGTGTGAGAAGAAGAAAAGGTCTTGACTCTGTAAGCACTGCTCGGCAGTAACTTAAACATGCCTGTATTATCAAGACTGTTTTCAGCACAAATCCAAAACATAGCCTGATACCAGCTACTATGAGAAAAATTAACTCTTTCCTAGCCAAAGCCAGCACAGTCTGGGATAGGTACAAGTAAATTGTGCCCTAAATATGTATGTATGTCTCTATTAAAAAGGCCCTTGTTCCTAGATCTTAGCTTTTATATGGAAGTAAAGCACAAATGTTTACTGAATTTGAAATCCTAAGCATGCTTGGAAAATGGTAGTATAGTGACTTAATGGAAGAGCAAGGTAACAGTGCAGCTATGCAGACTTACATAAGAGATTATGTATTGCTGAGTGGGGCAAAATTCTCTGCAGATGTTCTTTCTACATATAAGCTCACTTATTTTTCATCCACAAATGCTATTCATTCAAATATACTAAGGTTTACGATTCAACCCATGAATTTTGAGTGCTGGAGTGTGGTGTTTGTGGAAATGTTTTCCTCTAGAAATACAGCCTAATATTTTAAATTTATACTGTCACCTTCATGAAGGTTAAATGATAGTATGTTTATGCATAGTTGGTAAGAGGACATTTTTGATTGACAGCCAGTGCTTACATATACACATATATTCTATGCATTCTAGTACTGGTAAAAGTTTAGGACAGGAAAAGAGTGGAAAAACTTTTGCTATTGTATAGGTTGTAAATATCATGTCTACTCTTTTTATATGGAGTCTTTCATCTAATAAAGATATATATAGGCAGAGAGAGACAGGCAACTGGTCTCTGGCATCTAAGTGTGAAAGATGATCATGCTGGCTGTAAATAAGGCATAATATTTTCTGTTCACGTGCTATCTACTCTATGTTTTTTTGTTTGGAGGAAGAGGTGAATCCTGGAGAGGGATAATTTACTTTTGATTGGTGTGACAGGTGTGATGAAATGCAAGTATTTTGATCAGATTAACACGATGACTGGCGTGCTACTGGGAGAGGACTGTGTCAGAAATAGATTGGAGTCAGGTTCAGATTCAGAGCAGTTGTTAAATGGCATGAGAGCTTGAAAGGAAACTTTCCCAGGAAAAAGCACACGAAATTAACGAAGGAAAAGCCAATTTAGCATTTGACAACCTTTCGATGTAAAAGAATTCCAGCAAAGCAAGTATCAGGCTTTGTTGTCTTATCTGCATAGAAAACTTGCTGTTCTTTGCAAACAACCGTGGTGCTTTCTGGACACAGACTGTGAATTTTCCATGAATTTCCATTATTGAATAGGAAGGGGTAAACTTGCAGCCATGGTGAGGCGATCCTGCTGATGAGCACAATTCCTGTGTCTGTGGAGAAGAATATTTTCACTGTGCAGGGGGTTTATTTTAGATTCTGAGAAACTAGTTACCCTATACAGTGCTCCAAAAAGGAACATGTGAATAGGAAAGGGTATCTGGAGATCTCTGGAAAGCTTTCTGTGTATGTATATACAAAAAAGCAGTGCTTGAACAATTTACTGTTAGATGGTTTTTAAGAAATTTGAGAGTCATTTGATCTATTGGTGCATCAACTTTATGATTCTCATCTGGTGATTTTTGTCATGTTTAGTTTTTCTCCTTCGCCAAGACTTGATTTTATTTTTTTTTAGGAGCAATGTAGTTTATGTTCTTTTTCCAACTCTTTTTTGCCTAGATGTATTAAACATATCTGAGAAAATATACTAAGTTTCGGGAGGGAGAACTTAAATTTTGTCTGATTAGATGAAAGCCTCGACTAATATTGATTTCATTTTATCTTTCCCAGACCTTCACACTTACGCATGACACTGATCAGAGTGCATTAGGGCAGCTGATAATGTAGATTTTGTATCTATTGTAGTGGGGCTCTCAGTTGTGTAAGAAATTAATTAACAGAATGCTGCATTAAGCCACAAGTTCTGTCAGAAGGCGATTCCACTTCTGGTTTCATGGGAAGAATGCACATACAAATTTGCAAAGCAGAGCCTAATTATGGTGGAAAAAAAGTGAAAGTGGGCAGAGGTTGACAAACTGCTGCCAACAATAGTTTGGCATTTCCCGAGAGGGAAGTCGCTGAAGCTCCATCCTGCACTCGGACAGGCAGAACTTTGGAGCCTGGCACTCTCCTTTTCTCCTTCTGCCAGTGTTTTCCCTTGCCCACCTCTTTGCTGTGGTGCATGTTTCTTCAACCCCTGTGTGAGAAGCTGCCAGCTGTGCGGTGCTGGGAGCAGCTTCGTTATATGACAGCATTTAGGGAAACCGCTCCAGCAACGTGTACGCATAAAGGTAGCCCTAGAACAGCAGTGCTCACAGCTGTGCTGGAGCATACGAGTGTCCGTGAGAAATGGGAATTTTTCTGTTTCAGATAGGAATTGATATCCTCCTTACTATCAAAAATACTTTTATTCTGTCTGCGTTTGCATGATACGCTATTTAACCAGCAGTATATTTTTGACTTTTACAGAACTGGAAGATGAGGACAAGTCTGAGAACTCTCTTTCTTCACCTCTTGATAGTATCTCAATAGCATCTGACCGATATGATAAAGAGGATGAAGCACCTTCTGATGGTATGTGACATTCTTTACCTTAGAATGTACTAGATTTGCCAGTTTGCTATAACTCATGTAATTGGATCCTCATGATGCGAATTTAGTGTTGGAAAACAGATAAACAGATAAGCATCACAGCTGGACAGTTTTCTTACCTTTACAAGAACCTTTAAAGGAACTGAAGAGCTCTCTCTAGTGGTCCTAGAGCATAGTGAAGCTGTCTCAAATTTACATGGTGTTTTCAAACTCATGTCTTTTGATAACAAAGCATCTTCTGTAGATGCATATGTTTTTGAAGATAGATCAGAGGCTAAAACAGTGTGAATATTTGTAGTAACAAATTGTTTGTTAATTCAACATTATCAAATTCTTGCTTAATTTTATTGTGCTACTTAATGGCTTACTGTATTATTTATCTAATAAATAATGAAACAGTTTATGTGATTGATATTTTTCTGCAAACTCCGTGCAGAATAGGTTCATAAAATATTAAATTAATTATTCCTACAATGTTTCCTTCCATTAAGACAGTTTTTGTTATATAAATTTTGAATTTGAGCTTGCATTTTAAAAAAAACTCTAGGCTCCGTAGCTGTTTTCCATGTTGCTTTATTTTGTATTCATTAAGTTTAATGCTAAATGCGGCTGTTCTGAAGACATGAACAATTGAATATTTCAACAGTTAACAAGCTTGCTTTAGCATAGTGTCCATATTTTTGAGATTTGTTTATTGTATATGTAATATAAGTACCTTCAATGGATAATATATGGCAATAAATTAAGTATATGTACAAATAAATTAACGATGTATATTAATTTGTGGCACTAGAAGTTAGATAGACTTACTAGTGAATGATGTTTGCTGACATGATATGATGATCAAACTGTGCAGCTCCATCTCGAAGTACAATTGCTGAATGAAAATATGCTTCCTGCAACATAGCACTCCACATTTTATGTTATCCAGATTATTCCCTTTGGAAACATAAATTGCTTTTATGAGGTATAAAATTATGTCTATTGCAGAACAGGGATAAGTCAAGTACATGCATAAGTGACAAACATTCTAACCACTGATTCAGAATAACGCAATTTTTTTATGTCCAGAAGTCTGTAAAATGTGTAACAATAATAATCACACCTTTTTTTTTTTTTATATTGAGCTTATTGCATGTTGGCAATGTGACCTTCTATTAAAAAAATAAAACCAGGCATTTTTGCTCTCTGGTTGAAATGTAATTATCACTCAAATTGCATATGGCTTTTAGAAAACCCAAGGTAATTTTCAAAACTACAGATGAATGCAACTTTCCTTGTATTTATTTTTGCTTACAAACATAATCTTAACATTATTTCTAATTGTAACTTAATAACATGGTACTGATTGCATAAAGGGTATGTGATAAAATTATATGACTATTTAATAGGAGATATGATTATAGAATTGTTTCAAAACAGTTAATCAAGAAAAAAAGTGATAATGTTCATCAACCTAAATAATGAATGGCTGAAGAATGCTGATGCAAGAGTATGTGAAATACCATATGAGTTTGTACAGATAAGTGATTAATTTTAGCCAATTTTGAAGCTATGAGAGTAGATATAATAGCTGCTCAACAATACCTTTGCTAACTCGTACCGGTTTAGGTAGAAATATAGTGGGTGCAATTCTGTTGTATTTGAGGTGATATTACTAGTCTTTCTGTATTTCATGATAAATCCTCTTTAATTATCCTAGTGAGAGTGCAGCACTAGGAAAATTTGAGAGAAGGTGGTAAATTTTGATCTGTAAATACTTTCATTTATTGGAGTAGTGTTCCTGTTTTTCTCTTTAAATGTCCAATGTGTCATTCTAAAACCATTTTGATTTTAACATATATAATCCATCATTCAAGTCTAGCCACCTAGACTATATATGAAAATGTATGTTGGGAGAATCTTATAAGAGGTGGATTGATCCTCAGAGGTGCCTTTGGTTCAGTTCTTATAGGCATGAATGGGTTCGTTAAAGCTTAATACTGTATTTTTGTTTTCTAGCAGTTCAATATTTAAATTCTACTCAAGAAGCTGAGTTTATAATGTAGATGTTTGATCTTACATGATTACTAGTTCAGTTCAGCAGGGCTCTGTGCAGGTCTAAAACCTGATTTGTGTAGGATCAATGCTCTCAGCGTTAACTGAGGGCCCTATTTGTGGGTAACCAAATTGAGTTGATTTTTGTTTATGTTTGAGTTCCATTCATATTTTTATGTAAAACCTTCTGTATATATTTTCTGCTAAAAAACCCAAAACAAAATGGGCATTTCTCTTTATATACTTGAGTTAGACTTTAAGGTTTGTGTGACTTGTGAAAGTATCAGTATTTGACTTTGCAGCATTACTGTCAAAACATAATTTGTGAAGGCACCTGCTTGGTAACAGATAAAGAATTAGAGTATTATGTGTATGCTACAGTCATTGTAAAATCGTGGAGTTTTTGTGTGACCTTTCTCTAATGGTGTATTAATTACAAGAGAGATAATCCATTTAACAATAAGTATGGGATAACTAAATTAGCACAGGTCACCTAAAGGCCTTTTGTCAAATCCGATTGTTATGTTGTCCTTTTGACTTTTACCTTATGGTAGGCACTAACAAAGTATCTAAACTTTGATGGATTATAAACTCTAAACATGATATGTATTTTTCATAATGCTAATGTAATTTTCTAGGTACTGAAAAGGTCAAACCCCCACGTCTCTGTGTGCATTCTAAGTCTGTCTTTCCTTTTAATATTTCTTTTTCTCTGTTCCTCTGGTTCAAAAGTTCACTCAGTTCCCAAATGGCCACCTAATTTTCCAGTTATTCCCTCAAGCCATATGTGTTTTGGTTTCTTTATGGTTTATTAGGTACTGTAGGAAAGTAGCATAAGTTATATCATCTAATGAAATTCAAGCACACTTCAGTGATGCTTTGACTTGATTGCTGGCAGCAATTAAATCACAACGAAGGAGAATGATGGCTTACATATCCAGACACCCTACAGAAAGTGGAAGAGGGATAAAACACAACAAAACCCTCAAATAAAATAACAAAACCCAAAAACAAGACAGACCAAACAAAACAGCACTGCCAGGCACTCTGGTCTTAACTTGATTTTTTTTTTTTTTATTGGCTAACAGCCTGATTGATAGCAAAATCATAACTCGCTGTATGCTAACAGGCAGAGTTCACTTGTAGGTTATTGTGAGCTGATAAAGGGTTAGATGGAGTTTTGATTTTCGCATTGGTCCTTGGTGCACCAGATTAATGGAATTTCAATGAGAGACTGGAGTAGTCACAGCTTTGTCAGAAAAACAGATGGAGATTCTATAGCCATGTCTGCTCATTAATACCAGTTGCCTGAAAGGTGTACTACTTCTCTATACAAAAGACTCAACATAATTGATTTTTGAGCGGGGTATTTTTTCACTTATTGATGACTAGGTTTCTTGCAACTTAAATGACAGGTTTTTGTATAGTACATTTTATAACAGTGTTATGTCTGGTAATTTCTTACTGCCATCTGTATTTTGAAGAATACGTGTAGTGGGAAATACATATGTCTTGATTAGTTAAAAAACAAAGTAAACCAAAATACTTAAAAATTGAAATACTATGACTTTCTTTCAGGTTGGTAACAAACTTATTTTTAGTTGAGATGTTAATGAGGGAAAAGTTACTATTTTTCATTTACTTTTCATGTTTCTTAAGATGGTATTAAATACAGGTTCAATGGCAGGCTGAAACTTTCCTATTTAACAATGTAATCTTCTATAATATAAAAGTATTTTTTTAACAGTAAATTTTTTTGGTTTATGGTATGGTAACTTGATTCCATGGGTATGAAATGCCATTAGTATTTAAGGAACAAACTTTCTGACTTTTTAAGTACTGAGTGAGAGAGAACCTCTGAAGAAGACACATCTGTTTAGCTCTACAGAGAGAATGTCATTGGATAATAACTGGATCTAAAAATGCAGTGAGTGCTGTGATAAAATAATTTAGATCATCACCATTTCTATGGAAGGTCAGAAATGTTGCCTTGGGTATGTAAGGATGAAAGAAGTGCTAAAAATGTGTCTGGGGACTTGTATGCTCTTCAAACTATTATATTAGGCTATAGCTTATGAATAAAATATGGTTTTTAGTAGAAAATTCTTAAACAGTGTGAGAATCTTGTATTAAATCTCCCCATAGTTGAAATGGAAGGAGGTAGGGCTAAAGAAAGCTAAACAGGGCATTTGGAGAACTTTGAGGAAACAGAATAAACTAAAGGGTTTTATGCTTTAGCTGTTTGTCATCAAAGGGCAGTCTTGAAAATGAGCAAAATTTATTGCTCCCTGCAACATGCATTTCTTGCTACAATTTTTGGATGAAGCAACAGGCCTCGGCACTTTGTTTTCATGCAGCTCCTTTGGAAAAGTTCTATGCAAGTCTTTGCAGGCTTGAGTCAACTATTTTACATGATCTATAGTATTTACTTTGTGTGAATGTCACATTTTGCATTTTGATTGATCAAGTGAGAATGAAAAATTTTTTGACTGAGTTTTGCATGCTGCTTCTTTTGACATTTTAAGTCTCAAATGCAAATACTAATTAAGCTTTTTTCCCCCCCCTTGTTTTTCCTGTTTGTTAGGCACAGAGGTTTGAATATTGTCACTGAAGAAGGGGAGGTAGAGTTCAGTGTAAGACTTTATGCCCACTTTCTTCAACTACATTCCTACTGAGTTTATATTTGAGGCACTGTATTAAAGGAAAAACTCTGTTCCATCACAGAGCCAGTTAAACAGTGTTAGCATGTAAGCAACGTAGTAAAGGTTGGAGAACGGAAAATGCAACTAGAATTTTCTGTTCTTTCTCTTTTTGTCCTTCTTATGCCTCCAGTCTTGTACTAGTTTACCACTATTTTATTAGCATAATCGTATACATGTTTGCTTGTCTTGGGGATGACGGTATTGGAAGTTTACTTGAGTTATTCTAGATTAGTTATTTGCTTC